ATAATATTGAGTGAAAAGAAAGCATCACAGAAGAATAATACAGTAGATTCCATTTATATGAATTTTTTAAATAAGCAAAAGCAAATAGCAATATTGTATAGGAATGCATACATAGATGGTAACACTGTAAAGAAAAACAAAGGAATGATGCACTGAAATTCAAGACGGAGGTCCCCTGAGCTACAAATGGGGAGAGAGAGAAGGAGGTGTTTTGGAGAGGGGGGACCACAGGGGACTTCAAAGGTACCAATAAGTTTCTATTTCTTAAACAGATCGTGGGTGCTCAGGCATGGTCACTTGTACATAATACATGCATGATATGAAATAATGAGCAGCTTGAACAAAATAAACATGAGTCGTTTTTCAAATTCTGAAATACTAGGAAAAGGCGGCACCTTCTGGAATTTGTGGCAGGAATAGCTCGAGCAGATAAAAGGAAGTCCCATTTACCAAGGGAGTTATGAATAGTTACTGACTGAGCTTGCCTGCAGGTCAGGAATGGGCAGGTGAAGTCTTGGGGACCTGACTGGGGGAGGAAGTACAGTGTCTCATGCCCAGGGGTGCAGAGCATGAGCAGAGAGCCATGTTGCAGCAGCAGGATCCTGTGGGGTGTGGGGGTCCACGCCAGGGTCAGCAAGTCCAAAAGGGGCAAAATGGGAACGGGGAATTAAGAGTGGGAGCCAAGCGAGGGGGGCAAGCAGAGGGGGCAGGGGTATCTGAAGGCCCAAGCCTTCAGATAAGAATTCTCTGAGGCAGGCCGAGTGGCTCAGTTGGTTAAGAGTTGGCTTAAGAGTGCGCGCTCTAAGCAATAGGGCTGCCGGTTCGATTCCCACATGGGCCAGTGACACTGTGCCCGAGCTGAGCTGTCGCTGAGCTGCCAACAGGTGGCAGGATGGCTCAGCTGGTGTAACAACAAGATTGCCTGTTCAATGGTGGACTACACCCACCCGTAACTAAGACTGAACTTGGCACCTTGAGCTGAGCTGCTGCCTGGATGGCTCAGTGGATATGGGCATGCACTCTTAACAATGAGGCTGCCGTGTTCAACTCCCGCATGGGATGTTCAACTCCCACCGGCAACTAAGATTAAACACAGCACCTTGAGCTTAGAGGTCACGAGCTGCCGACGGGAAGCAAGATGGCGACTGGTGCCCTCCACAACAAAGACTGAAGAACAACAACTTGGCTGGTCCCCTCCCCCAATTCCCCAACACTGTTCTTCTCCCCCAATTCCCCAATAAAATCTTAAAAAAATAATAATAATTCTCTGAGATGGATTTGGGTCCTGTCTGGGACTAAGGGGGTCCTGGTCTGTGGCAACCAACAGACTGACATGAAGTGGACGTCATCTCCAGAGGTGACACTACCAGACAGAGCCCCAGATGGCCAAGAGCAGCTCTCCCCAGGGGCAGAACCTGAGGTGGTCCCATTAACCACACACCGTCAGAGACATATGGAGTCCTAGAAGGAGCCTGTCCACTCTGTGGCTCAATGTAGAAATCCCTTCTGCATCCAGTCACAGGTCCCCAACTTCTGTTTGAGGATTCCAGTGGCTCAGGACCTTTCCAGGGGTCCTGTCCCATTGAAAAAAGACATACTTTCTTACCAAGTCCTTTGTCCTGAACGATGGCACATTTCCCTTACGGTGTCACCTCTGCTCTCAGGAGCTGTGCAAAATGAGCCAAGTCCTTTTATTCGCCAGGCTAGCAGGACGGTGGGTCCAAGCCAGTAAGCAGAACCAGGTCCACCAGGGGGATGGTGTGATGGACACAGAGGATGTGCCAACCTGACTGCCCCTGAAAGATAAACTTTGTACAGTCAGCAGACAGCCTCCAGCTCCTTTGGGGTTGGCCAAGAGCTGCCTCACCAAGATCATGACCATATCCAACAACTGATCACAGGAAGAGTGTCAAACACTGGCCACTGGAGCCCACCCCAAGAACTCTGAGGAGCCATATATGTGGGGTCAGCTTTGTCAAGCCTGCTTCACTGTGTGGGCACTCCGCCTGCCCAATCCCGCTCTCCTTCCCTGCTCTTCATAGCTGTTTATCCCTGATAAATGTCCTGCTCACCAGATTCCAGCTCAGTGCCTGCTTCCAGAGAGCCCTATCTGCTACAGAAGGGGCATCTTTACAACAGATTAAACTAAAGAGAAAGTGGTTTTAGACCCGCTAGCAAAGAAAAAGAAAGTGCTGTTGAAAACCTTATTCACTGTAGCCTTTGTTAAGGGTCTGGCATTTCCCTAAGAGTTCCTTCAAAACAAACAGGAAGGAGTTTAAGAGACTCCTCTGCAACCCTCCAGCCCACACATGTTGCTTCAAAAAACAGTCCAGAATGGGAGAGACTGCAAACATGCTCAGCTCCCTGCCCCTGGGTGGGGTTGGAAAAGCTCCCCATGGGCGTGCCCATCACCCCTCTTCTATTTGTTGGTGCTGGAATGGGATTTGCCAGCACAAGCCAGCAGAACAACCTGGCATTTCATTTCCATCATTTGAAAAGGGTTTCCTTTCAAGTTCGGTTTCCTTTCCTACTCCTGGAATTCTCAAAAGCAGTAGCATCCTGGTTCTCATTCTTCTGGACCTCATAGCACTGATCGCCCTAGACCCATTTTATGCAATTAATTGTGCATTTTGTGCCCTGTTGTAAGACAATTCTCAGGTGCTGCCTGGTCGGGTTACTTACTTATCCCTTGCATTATTATTTGCTACTAATAACAAAACAACAGCCAGCCATTCCTATGAGTTTCTCATGTAGATTTTTTGTCGGAAGAAGACTGTGCCAGACCTCCTCTTAGTACCTCCTCCTTGAATGGCCGAATGGCTAATCCTTTTTTTTTAAAACGACTTTTATTATCGGCATCTCTTTTTTTCTGACTAAAAAAAAAAAAGGCATTGTATTAGCTTCCTATTGCTGCTGCAACAAAGTACCACAAACTTAGCAGCTTAAACGAACACAAATTTATTATTTTATAGTTCTGGATGTCAGAAGTCCAACATGGGTCTCACTGGGCTAAAATCAAGGTGTCAGCAAGACTTCATTCCTTTTCTGGAGGCTCTTAAGGGAGAACCCATTTCCTTGCCTTTTCCAGCTTCTAGGGGTCGCTGGCATTTCTGGACTCGTGGCCCCCTTCCATCTTCAAAGCCAGCAATGGCTGGTGGAGTCTTTCTCAAAGGGCATCCCTCTTCTTCCTCCCTTTTCCACATGTAAAGACCCCTGTGATTGCATTGGGCCCACCTGGGTTATCCAGGATAATCTTCCCTTCTCCAGGTCAGCTGATTGGTAACATCAATTCCATCTGCAAACTTAATTCCCTTTTGCCATGTAACCTAACATATTCACAGGCTAGGAGGTTTGCAACTTTGGGGAGTCATTATTCTGCCTACAACATATATGCTCATTATTTAGAAATACAGGAAAAAGTATAAAAGAGAACATATAAGCCACTTCCAATCCCACTTCCCAGAGAGAACCACCCAGTTTAATACAGTCCAGTCCTTCGTTCAGTGCATGTTTTTTTTCTTTGTAAACTAAGTTTGAATAATACTATATATATACAGTATTTAGTAATTTTCCTTAGTAACATACAGACATTTCCATGCTAATATAATAAATATTTCCTGCATATCATTTTTTAATGACTATTTAGCATTGTATTATGTGGATATACTATAATTTATTTAGCTAATTTAGTTATTCCTCTATTGTAGGACACACAATTTATCTCTGACTTTTCTTTATGCCTAGTGATCCTGTAGTAAACATCACTGAAGCTACATCTTTGTACACATTCCCTAAAGGTACCCCAAATATTGGGCAACCACATCATTTATCCTCCAAAGAAGCACATTTTTGAGAATGTAAAAGGGTGATCTTCAACAACAAAAAAATAAACAATCCAATCAAAAAGTGGGTAGAAGACCTGAATAGACATTTCTCCAAAGAGGACATACAGATGGACAATAGACATGTGAAAAGATGGTCAACATCACTAATCATCAGAGAAATACAAAGAAAAACCACAATGAGATATCACCTCACATCAGTTAGAATGGCCATCATCAACAAGACAAATAATAACAAGTGTTGGAGAGGCTGTTGAGAAAAAGGAACCCTCATACACTGTTGGTGGGAATGCAGATTGGTGCTATGGAAGACAGTGTGACGGTTCCTCAAAAAATTAAGAATAGAATTACCATATGACCCAGCAATCCCTCTCTGGGGTATATACCAAAAAATGAAAACATTTATCCATAAAGATATATGTGTTCAGAGATACAGAGGAAAAACTGATGGTTGCTAGTTGGGAGGGTGGTAGGGATGAGGGATAAGGTAAAGGGATTAGAAAGCACAAATTGGTAGTCACAATAGTGCCACGGGGATATGAAAGACATTTTGGGGAATATAATCAATAATTATATTGTATATATTTACAATATATATTGTAAAGATTTTGTAGGGTGTCAGATGGGCACTTGTCTTATTAGGGAGACCACTTCATGGATGGTGTAGATGCCTGACCATTGTGGGATATGGAGTACTGCATAGGGAATAGAGTCAATGGAATTGTAACAGTTATATATGATGTCAGAGGGGTAATAGATTGGAGGATGGGGGTTATCACTTTGTGAGGGGTGTAAATGTCTAACTATTACATTCTTTTGTACACCTGAAACTAATAAAAAAAAATAAAATAAAATACATTAAAAAAAGATATATGTGCTTCGATGTTTGTTGCAGCTTTATTTATGATGGCCAAGACATAGAAACAACCAAAGTGTCCTTCGATAGATAATTGGATAAAGAAGATGTGGTACATATATACAATGGAATACTACTCAGACATAAGAAAAGATGAAATAGTGCCATTTGTGACAAAATAGATGGATCTTGAGATTATTATGCTAAGCGAAATAAGTCATACAGAAAAAGTCGAGAACCATATGATTTCACTGATATGTGGGATATAAAACTGAAAGCAACAAAAGAATAAGACAAACAAATGAAGAAACAAAAACTCATAGACACAGATAATAGTTTAATGGTTACCAGAGAGTAAAAGGGAAGGAGGGTGGTAGATGAGGGTAAAGGGGGTCAAATATATGGTGATGGAAGGAGAACTGACTCTGGGTGGTGAACACACAATGTGATATATAGGTGACGTATTACAGAATTACTTGAAACCTATGTAATTTTACTAACCATTGTTACCCCAATAAATTTTATTTTAAAAAAAAAAAAAAGAAAAAGGATAATCTTAACAATTAACAGCAACTAATAACTACCAATAAACCAGGACTGACCTGGGCATGATACATATTGCCAACTGGTCTTCTAAATGCTGCAACAATTTACACTCCCACAGGCAGCTCCCAAGTATCCTTGCTCTGAGCCCTTGCTAACACTGCCTCCCCGCAACCTGCACCCAGCCTCCATCTTCCTAAAACTGAAAAACACACAGAGGCAAATGCCATTCTCACTTTCGTTGGAGAGGTGGCAGTGGAAGGCCTGTTTCTGGTAGCAGGGAGAGGATAGCTAAGTCATTCTTTGCCCTGGTTGCCAATGATTTTACTTTAGGTGAGCCTACTATGGCTTCTGATCCAGGTATAGGCTGGATTAGCTTCAAGAAGGTTGTGACTGGCTTGCCTTCCCTATCCACAGGCCCAGATGCAGGCTCAGCCAGAGGAGGAATCTTCCCAACTGGCCCTTCCCAGACTCAGGCAGGTATTGCCAGGGATCCCTGTAACAATTCAGTATTACCTGAGCAAACTTATCTGAGCAAGAGACACTGACCCTGAAGAGCCAAAGGCAAGAGCTCAGAGCTGCAGTCAGTGCAAGTTTCCTAACACTCACAATGTTACAAGTGGGGCGGCCAGGTGGCTCAGTTGGTGAGAGCACGTTCTCTTAACAACAAGGCTGTCCGTTCGACTCCCACATGGGATGGTGGGCTGCTCCCCTGGCAACTAGATTGAAAAATAACAACTGGACTTGGAGCTGAGTTGCGCCCTCCACAACTAAGACTGAAGGACAACAACTTGACATGCAGCTGATAGAGCCTGGGAAAAACACACTGTTCCCCCAATAAAGTTAAAAAAAAAAAAGAATGTTACAAGCAACAAGTTACACTTTTTCTTTTTCTTTTTTTTAAAGATTTTTATTGGGGAATTGGGGGATGGGACCAGCGCTGGGGAATTGGGGGAAGGGAAACAGACAAGTTGCTGTCATTTTGTTCTTCAGTCTAGTTGTGGAGGACGTCGCCCCACTGACCCAAGTTGGCACCATCATTGCACTCTTCCCAAGCGAGGCTGATCAACCGCAGGCTTCTGGACCACCGCTCACACTGGCTGCGGCTACACACGGTAGCCCATGGCAACCCACTGCAGCAGGGGCTGCAGCCTACGCCGTCACCTGCGACTCACGGCAGCCCAGCTCCAGGTTGAGCTGTTGTTCAGCATCTTAGCTGTAGAGGGCAGTGTCACTGGCCCTCATATGTGGGATCCGAACCGGGGCCCTCTGGCGTCCCAAGCCAGCTCTTAACCATCGCGCCACTCGGCCGGCCCAAGTTATACTTTTTCATCAGAGGACTTCCTCTTGGATAGCACCCTTTGAAACCATCAACTCTC